TTGGCCCGACCAATAACAATTTGACATTCTGAAAGGGGATTTTACATAAGAAAGGAGAAATTACCAATGGAAAGCAAAAAAAAAAAGGTTAAATCTTAATACATTTTCATTAAGAAAATTCAACAAAAAAAACAACAAATAGATTGAGAAAATAAAATGTAGAAATAATTAAAAATCATACTTGAACAGACGCTGTTAATTTAACAATTTTACATGACAAGCATTTTATAAGGATTAATATCAAATATGAACCATTTTAAACCTTCACACAGAGCAGCTCTATCATGGATCTAGGTGCATCACTGCAGATATGGAGGCCTTGTCAGCTTTTTTTTGCCATGGATCAATAATAGAAAGTTAAGAAACAAAAATGAAGTTAGATTTAGATATTATGAAAGATGAGGAGGTAAAAAGGCTGTTAAACAAAGGACGTAAAAACAAGTTTAAGATTTAAATTGCTCCTAACATCTAAACAAAACAGGGACTGATGTTTTCTCAAGTGACGCCCAAACAGATCAGCCCATAAAACATACATAGTTGATTAATACAAAATAGAACAAGATTGTTGGTTAGAGCCTGATGATCAGGAGTGACATAATGCCGTTTGGAAAATAGCGCCAATGGATTTCAACAGATATATGTCTATGGTTGACTTAAAAAAAAGCATGATACAAAACCTTTAACAGTTAATCTATTGATTTGCTCTTTAACTTGGCAAACTGCTATTAGAAATACAAATAACACAAGACTATAAGGGTATGTTGACTAAATTAGGCTTATTTGTGTGGTTTTTTAAGATTTAAAGGAATCGAAATTAAATCATCATAGGTGAAAAATAGTTGATCTTAAAATAAAAGGAGACTTTTCCAACTTTTTTAACAACTCACATTTAAAAAAGAAGCATCATTTAACTATCATTTCACCTATGAAGTAGTGTGATTTTTTTTTTCTTCCTCAAAACAATCAACAGACTGAAGAAGGCCAAATCTGTGCTTAATTTGTTTTAAAAATATTGTGTAGGATGTAATAATAGGGTAAAATTTGCTTTTTATTAAAGAAGCACTTTTCATGTATCTAAAAAAATCTTTGTATGTATTTAATTAGACATCATTTTTCAGTCTTGTTCTTCTTTTTCTTAATTAGATGGTGGAAATTTTGAAGTCTAACGCTGATGTATGTGTCTTAGCCTGATGTAAAATTGCAATAATAATAATAAATCAAACAGAGAGAAGGGAAATAATTCTGTTTTCAGTTTTTGGTTTGACAGAAAGATTCACTGATCTGAATATCAATGCCTAGCAGATCTATATTTAGCTTCCAGGACACATCGAGAGGATAAAAATATCTTTGGTTAGCGTCATGTGGGCGAGAATAGACATTGCCACAAAAACCTGGTGGAAAATTCATCACCTACCCACTTGTGTGTGTGATTGAGTGACTGCTTTTGAATCAGGCACAATGAGAGGAAACAGTTTGGAGACTGAGTCAGCACAGCTTCATCAGAATCAGTGAGAAACAGTTGAAGAGTTCAGCCTGTACATATTATCAGTTAGGTCCAAAGACCCATAACAGCTTTGTTTATTCACTGCACAGACATGTTATTTAAAAATGTTTGATACCTATTGTATTTTAGTATGTAGTTAACTAGTGATTCGATTTAGGTAGACTCCAGTAATAAAGATCACTGTTCAGATTACGATCCCTTTAAACACCAATCTGGGAGTTCCTTTTTGGCAATTCTCAGCTTTTATGTTTGCAGTCAATTAAAGGTTGGGTCATTAAAACAAGTGGGAGGATGTCTAATTAAAGATTAACATCTAAACACATAATAAACATTTTAAAAAGTCAAGGTCAGTTAGGAAATGTCATGTGGCAGATAGTATTTTTTTTTAATCTGAAGCCACTAAGATTACAATAATTCCCAAAAAGCTAAAAGCAGATCAACTTAACAAGTGTTTTTTGCTGTGCTAACTGTGAGTAGTAACTGTAGTCAATGTAAAAGAACTACTATGAAAGACACCGGAATTTTTAAAATAGGCAAAGTAAAACAGAAGAGCTGAGAGCAAATTGCAAATGTGCCATTGGTTTATTTACGGTACAGCTCTAGCTTCTTTGATGGTTCCAGATGAAGCACAATAGTCTTTATATATAATGATAAGATACAGAATTAAAGTCCAAGAATTAAAGCTGCAAACACAATAGAAACATGAATATAGATTGGGATAAATTATACTATATTAAAATTATAAACAGTTTTGCATCAAACCTAAAACCTGATTTTTTTTTAACTGCCAATAAAATTCCCTTTAGATATAAACCTTCAACTTTAAACACCATACCATACTTTATTTTTTTATTTTGCTGATTTGTTGTATCAGTAAATAGCACTTAACCCTAGCATTGTCTAAATATGCCTTAAATAAGTAGGTAAAGCTTTCTTTTAACCTACATCAATAAACATGTAATAAAATGGTAATAACTTAGCAACTTACACTATGTTTCAAGGTAACAAGAAAAACTTTATGTAAAAGTGCTGTGCTTAAAATTTTAGGTGGACAAGACCTCTCATATTTCAAACAGTTATTAGCAGGTAATGCAGTCATTTCACCAACAGCAATAAATTCCTGTGTTATTATCTAGTAAAATGCAGTTTATTACTTGGCAACAGAAAACCAAACCTATCCAATCCAATCCACTTTATTTATATAGCACGATTTCAATAAACACAAGGTTTCCAAAGTGCTGCACAAAAAAGATAAAATAACTAAAATAAATAAAAGTAAATAAAATAAAATAAAATAAAAGCAACATGTGTATACATAAAATCAACACTCTACATGGTGTCAAAAGCCAAAGAAAAGAGGTGGGTTTTAAGAAGAGTTTTAAAATGAGACAGAGAGGTGGCCTGTCTAATGTGCAGTGGCAATCCATTCCAAAGTTTTGAAGCTGCTACAGAAAACGCTCAATCCCCTCTGAGCTTAAACCTAGAAGACAGCAAGCCAATCTAAACTAAACTCTTATTTATATGTAACTTGAATTCAGTTTTATAATGCTTTATTTGCCTGATCATAAGTTATAATTTACTTTGTAATCTGGTGGTAAGTGGTGGCCAGTGATAGAAAGCGTTATGTTGTAACCTAATGGTAATTACCCACCAAATGTGTCCATTGTCACTTAGTAACAAGCAATTGTAAAAATGACATGCAGGTAATTACTTTGAAACTATATTAATTTTGGGGTAATAAATAAAGTTTTTCTTGTTACCAAGTAATGTAGTGTGACTTATTATGCTAATACCATGTTATTGCATATTTATTGATGTAAAATAAAGCTTACCAACAATTTTAGCTTTATTAAAGTGACATAAACATTTAACATCAAAGTAAAGTCTATAAAAGTGCATAAAGCATAATTTAATAGATCTAAGTTTTTCTTGGCTCCTCGTCATTAATTTACGTCCTAACGGCTTCTTGAACATAAAGGAAACATTTAAAAATTGTTCCCACAAACTTAGGGGTATGGAAAATATTTAAAAGTATTTTTGTATGTTCCACTTCATGTAGGTGTTGTATCAGCCTTTGTAGAACTAAAGCTGATACTATCTCTGCTAAAGTTTATTGCCATGATGGCAACAACACTTTCCTATCTAGTAACAGGTGTGAATATATGGTGGTAAGGCATCATCAATATCATACCGGCCCCAAACACTTACTCTCCGGCCGATGCACCTACCTGTGACAGTAAATAACTCAAGGAGCTCAAGAAGTAATACAATTTAAACTACCTACTGTACATGATGCATGCAGTATATATAGCCCTTCCTTGTCATGCACATCCTTGTGACGGTTGGCATATGGTGTAATTTTCAATTTCTTCAAACTGTAAAATCCTATTTCCTCAAACTAAAAAAGTCCTTGCAACAAACTGAATTATAATAAAAATAAGATGCTTCCCTTAAACCAAACTACGATGTTCCCCTTATATTTGGCGGATTTATGTTCGAATATTTTGAAAAAATATGCTGCGGTGCATGATGGGGTTTAGCATCTAAAAGCTAACGTTTCCTGTCTTACATGCANATAGTGTCAAATCACAACACATGTTATCGTGGGGTACCTTACAAGGTAATTAAATCAGATCATACAGTCAGATTTAATAAAAGTTTTCTATCTAAGGAAAACCAAGTGTTTGCAGGATCCTCTTCTCCTGGATGAGCATGTAGGGACAGTAGATATTTGCTTGCATTGTGTCACTGACTCTGCAGCAATCCCTCACACAGAGCATGCATGCAGCAACAGTGGAAATTAACAGGAAGAAACCTCCCGCAGAACCAGGCTCGATGTGAGCAGCCCTCTGCTCAGGACAACTGGGGATTAAAGGAGACACAATCAGACATAAAAAAAAGAACATTGAAGCATTGATGCATAAATGCTTTAAATGATAGAAAAGATAATGGTAAACTAGCTACTTGCTCTGTATCGGAAAGAAACAGTTAAGAAGATGAGCTCTGAGCTGGTTTTCATGCCAAAGGGTATAAAAGAAAGCAGATGTTTAGGAGGGATACATGACTGAACATTGAAAAGCAGACCCAATTCTATTATCAATAATTGAAGATATTGGTAGCAGCAACCCAGCTGATTGGTTTCGTCCCGAATGGTGCTACAGTCAAACATGACCAGACCAAATGAAGCTACTAACAAATATTGAAGAATTGGAGAATAGAGGGAGAATTGAAGCAGAGTGAGGAAAAGTGGTACCTATGTCCTCCAGCACCCTAAGCATATAGCAGCACAACTATAGAGATAGTTCAGGATAGCCTGAGCTAATCAATTGCTTAAAGAATAACTTGTAAGCATTGCCATTTAATAAGACATTTTAAAAATATCAATGTATTTGCGTTTTACATTGATAGCTATACATATTGTGTTGTTGGTGCTTGTTTCACATAGGAGTATATCTGGTAACTGTTTTATTTTTTTAGTTGAAGTAATGATGAAAACATGTTAAAGGTTCAAAAAGTATTAGAGAGAAATGCTACGATTTTGTTGACCTTCCGGTTATTTGAAGTAATTTGATCCCTCTTTGAATACCCTAAACTTGACTGCATGTAAAAACTACGTTTAGAAGATTTCAAAACGGCTATATTTATGCTTCAGATTATTGAAGTTGAGATTTTCTAAAAGTTTAATAGAAAATACAATTAATATTAATCTGTATATCCATCTGTTTGCTTTGATAGGCTCTGCACACCCAGCACCCTCTCCCTATGGCCCCGCCCCCCATCCCAGTGGCTTCCTGCCTCCAGGCCATTTGGCAGGTAAGTGTAAGTAACAGCATTTTGACAGATGTTTATACATGTATCTCCTCTTTCTCTCCATGCTTTCTCTGTTCATTCTCCCAGTTTTTGACTGGTGTTTATAACCAGGGAGTCATTTAAATCCAAGATGTTTATCATTTTGATTTCAGGGTCATTTTCAAGTGTAGTTCAGAAGTTCTGCTGACTTCTAGCAGCTGGATTAGTCGAGCAGATGTGCAGTTTACGGTGATGGATTTAACAGTATCATCTCTAACAACTCCACCTGGACATATAAACAAGAACATAACACAGAGAGGACATGACAGCTTTTTGGAACTAATTGGGATTGAATTGAAAACATATATTTTGAATTGATTTAAATGAACTACTGCCATAGTTCCAAATGTATGTGTGGAGATTAAACTCATGTTTTGAGTTTAAGAAAAAAAATAAAAATATTCTAAAATGTTTTTAAAAAATCAACAAATAAATATAAGTTACCCTGGTAGAATGAAACTATACTCAACTGAAGTCAAACGGTCATCAAATTTCCAGTTTAATTAGCTTAATTTAAGCTGAATTAATTTCCATGTCCAGCATTAGACCATTTCCAACTTTGCTCTAAAAAGTCCAAACTAAATCCTTCTTCAGAGAGAAATGTTTCTCTTGCCCCAGCCAGCTCCACTTAGCAATAAATCCAGGGTCCTGGCTACTGTACGATTACCAGGCAGGGGGTTAGGATGGCAGCGCTAAAAAACAAAAACAAAAAAAACAAAACTCGCTTGTAAGAGAAAAGCTGAGTGAAACGGGTTGGTGTTGGGGTGAGTACTGCTAACCAGCTCCCCCTTTTGCTAATCCCTGTTTGGCATTTTGCAGATCCTTTCAGTCGCTCCAGTTCCTTTGGCGGCCTCGGCAACCTTTCAACCAGTGCCTTCGGAGGATTAGGCAACCCCTCGCTTGGTAAGCGCTGCCCCCCCTCTCTCCTCCACCACTGGCCCCTCCTCTTCTCAATCGGGCCCCCTGTGGCCAGAAGCAGAATAGAGCAGGGAAGCGTTAGACAGAAGGGAGAGCAAGGAGGGGAGGCAGAAGACACATAGCTCTAGTTTCTGTGTCAAAGCGAACCCTGGCCCTGTGAGGCCCGACAAACCAGTAGAACACAGAAGAGCTCCTCCCTGCCTCCACTCCATCCATCAGTGATGTTTCCAACCGCCTGGCTTTAATGTGACTGCGCTGCTGCCAGGTTTGCTGTTTGGTGGCAATTCATCTATTAATTATTTGACAAGCCCCTTTTGCATCTCCATGGAGGGTTTTCTCTTTTCTCCCTTTGCATCCTTCTGTCCATGCTCTTCTCTGTTCTTCATGATCCCTCCTGTTTCTGTGTGCCAAATCAGTCACCCTGTTGTGAAAATGGATGTGATTGGAATAGACATGCTGTGGAACGCTAAGGTCTCCCTTGGCTTTTCACAACTCTCTTCTCCAGAGGGCAAGTGAGTCTCCTCTGTTCATCCGCTGCAGAAAAAATGGAGGAGGAGGGGGGTGAAGGCCTTTAAGAGCCCAAGTAAAGCCTGTGTTGTGGGGAGCCATTAACCTCTAACTCTTCCAAACAGCTTCGGGGAGGGAACCTCCAGAGACAAAAGACAAAAGCAGCTTTTGTTGTCCAGTCTTTCTCATCTTATGTGTCCTCAAGAAGGTTTTTGTGCCCAATTAACTGACGGAGTCCCATGTCTTTCTCTTTTCTTCTTCCTTTCAGGGTCCAATAGTGTGTTTGGTTCCAAAGAAGGGCCAGGAGGACTGCCCACTTTTGGCAGCCCCCACCATGACACCTGGAACAGGCTTCGTCGCACACCGCCATCTTTCCCCACCCCTCCACAGTGGCCCAAAGCTGGAGAGGCTGAGCGAAGTAGCTCGGCTAACAGCCATGACCGAGAGCGGGACAGAGAGCGAGAGAGGGACCGAGAGAAAAGAGACTCATCCATCGGCAAAGAAGAGAAGGATAAGGACAGGTGAGAGGAGGGCATGTTTTTAATACTCTCAGAAACTTAAACATTCAGATTACAGATACAAGCATTTGCTGTTTAACTAATTTAAGTTTAACTCTATGGAACCATTTAAAGTTCTGCTTGATGCCTCTATAAGGAACCAATCTGGTAATAATGAAGCTCCCATATTTCCATGCAGACTAGAGCACAAGTTAAATTGTAGCTCCACAGTATAGGGACTCCTAAATGAGACTGCTTCAATGATCTCACCACATATAGAGTGAAATAATTCAACAACATGCTTCTGTGGCGTAGTGGTTAGCGCACACGACCCATGTACGGAGGCCTTAAGGCTAATTTATGCTCAGAAACCAGTTCGTCTGCTTGTGTCGCAGTTAATGCAAATGTGCCCCTACTGCAGACGCTCTGGTGCACCTCTCCAAAATTGAGGATGACCGCAGACAGGAGGCCTCTGATTGGTCAAATCTACATCCGCTCTACACTATGAATATTTCCTGTTTGATACCTTACTGGCTTGTTTTGTTTGGATGACCGCCATTGTGGAAAATGACTCGTGAAGATGGACCAGCTAGAAGGCTGGATCCCCGCTCTTTCTCGCACCGATGTCCCTCCGTTGTCGCACAAACCTTTAGTCCTCGACACGATTGACCCGGGTTTGAATCCGACCTGTGGTCCTTGGTCGTATGTCTATCCCCCTCTCTCATTCCCCCTTTCCTGTCAGCCTACTCTCCTAAAAATGAGCACCTAGTGCCATAAAAAACACCCCAAAAAATATAGCTGCTTTACAGAAACAGAGATGCCAGGCTCAACCAGAAAAAAAGCAGCCCCAAACCAATATCCTTCCTCCATTAAACTTCTGCTCAGTGCAATGAAGTTAACTCAGTCCTTCAGTTCTGCCAAACCCAAACACTAAATGGACTATTAGACAAAAAAAAACAGATTTGCCGTTTCAAAATCACGATGCAGACGTAACAAATTGTTGTGGTGAAAGAAATTATACCAACGCCTTTAGTTTGCTAATCCATCCTTTGGTTGCAAATTTTCAAAAAAATTGCAGAAAATTCCTCAAGGCTTTATTTACTTGGTAAATCTGGAGATGGCTACTGCCCCAATATGGTGGTACCTGGACTTTAAACCTACGTTGGTTTGGAAGGCTTAGCTTATTTTCAAGAAGGTAGTTTTTGAATGTTTGCCCTCCAAGACTTAGGCGCAAAACCAGAATTTCCAAAGACTGCAAAACCTTGGGGGTCGGATCAGACCCCTGCAGACTTTCCTCCACTGAAATCCCACCTGTAACTTCCACTCTTTATAAAAAACACTGGAGATATTTAAAAGGAATATCCTGCCTCACCAATGCAACAACTGCTGTGCTGCTCTGCCCATCCGTTGTAATTCTGAGAAGTGAGCTTTCGCTTCCAGATTGGACGGAAAGAACACTTTGTAAGGAAGGCTACTGCCCCCTTAAGTGTTTGGAGGTTATTTCCAGTTTTTACCTGGAGTGATGAGTCTTTCACCTCAAACAACCCCTCTTATATGAAACAATTTTCAAACAGTTTTACAGATAAAAGGTAAACTGAGTTACAGCACTGGACCCGTCTGGAAATCGCCAGCGTCAAAAAGAATGAAGAATGAACCCTAAGAAAATTACAGTTCCAGTGGGTTCTTCTACCTCAGTGATATCAGCCAAGATGGTGTCTGTCTGATAGGTTGCTTCATTATCGGGTCTTGTGGCTTACATTAAGGCTAATTACCTTTATCTTGACAAAACTGATCTCTGCTTCAACTCATTTGACTTCTGAGGGAGAATTAATGAAATATTGGAATTTACACCTTATAGGATTATAAAATGGTTGGGAAAAAAACGTAATTAATGGAGAAGTATATTTAACATTCTCAGGATTTTAGGCTTTAACAAGGTTTTTTATGAAGATAGAGGAGGTTTCTAACAGCTTTTATTGTCATTACACTGTCACAAGTACAGAGCAACAAAATGAACTCTGCATTTAACCAATCCCCTGGGGGAGCAGTGGGCCGCCATTGTGTGGTGCCTGGGGAGCAGTGTGGGGATAAGGGTGTTGCTCAGGGACCCAGGGTGCAGGCTGTGGGGATCGAACCAGGTACCTGCAACCTTCTCAGAGCACAAGCATACTGCTTTAACCACTACTGTTGCGCCGATGCCATTTTTTAGGGCCTGATACCTGGCTGTGCAGTATTGGCCGATACCAAAGCGATACCATCTGTTTGAAATTGATATGTGTGTATATATATATGAACAATGCATACTACCTGGATGTAAAATAATTGTCATCATGGCTTTGGAAAAAGACTAATACAAAGTGAATCCAGTACAACTTTTTATTGCCTACCTGAAAAGGGTGACATTAGTTGAATAAACTTTTGGCTCTCAAAATGGTATCTGTGCCCTATTTGTTGGTACTTGCCGATACCAACATTTTAGTGCTGGATTGCACCCCGCACCATACTGGTATTGGTATCAGTGCAACACTACTAACCAGTAGGCCAACACTCCCCATGAAACAGTAGGTGCTGGATCTTTTACACCTGCAACTGTGAAAGTCTTTAAAACTTGGATTTAATACATTAAGAGAGGGGGGGTGTAGTGTAAGGTGGGAAGCTTTACTACAAGACAGAACAAGAGTAACTATCAATCATTAGAAAAAAAGAGGTTTCTCTAGTTCTCTAGTCGGTGGACCTAAAGTTCCATGCCCCACAGCTGTGGAACGGTTATAGCTAGAGGTCTGCAATTTTTATTTTTGAGACATGTTTGAACTGATGCAGGTTGGTCTGTGTTATAGTCACTAAATTTTAAATTTATATATTAGGAAACTAGAGAGTGTTAGCTTTCAAATAATGTATTGCACATGTAATTTGGGCTTACAGTTTCTAAGTTATTTGCTTTTCCATTTGGGTATGCAAAATAGGCGAGGATTGCCCAAAATGAGGTGGCTGTTAAGAGGTTAAGCTTTCGTTGTGTTCATAGGAAGTGATCCATAGTTCCTTCCTTTATTTGACTAGCACATAATGCAAATAACTGTGAGACAACCTTTGAAAGAAGAAACCCTGACAGTTCTGGGTGTGGGTTCAAATAATAAAAATAGATTTTGAGTAAGAAGCTGATTGGCTTTTCTGTTTTTTTGTTTTTTAGTAGAAAAGGTTTTTATGTAACAGTTTACTAATATACCAAAACTGTTCCATTACAGGGATTCTGTGGATCGAAACCGCCACTCAAATCGGTCTTCACCTGCCTCAGCGCCAGTCAGCTACCAGATCAGCAGCCTGATCCGCTCCAACAGCCAGAACTCCAGCGATTCAGGTCGGCATCACAGCGGCAGCGTAGACCGGGTCCGTGAGGCAGAGAAAGAACTACTAGAACGACAGAGGGAGTCTTCTCTGGGGGATGTAAAGGTAAAGGAGAGCCGCTCACCAGGGAAGGAGATGCTGGAGAGACGGGCCTCCGAGGACTCGATCAAAGCCCCTCAGCGCTCTCCTTCTCCTTACTCCAAGGCCATGATCAATGAACAAAGCATGAAGATGGCCGGTGGACTTCCGTCTGCAATCAAGGACAGTGAGAGGAAGGAGCCCACGTCTGCCGAGCTCCTCCACAAAGTGAAAAATGACATGAAGATTAAGGAGGAGAGGAAGGAAGAGCAGGAGGTCATGGTGGTAAGTTCAGAGCCAGCGCCCCAACCGGCAGCCCAGGTCCTCCCGTCACCTGTCAGCCAACCAGGAAACCCTCACCACCACCACCCACCTCTGTCGCAGCAGCCTCATCTTCCTTCCCCCCGCGGAAGTGATATCCCAGCACCAGGCCTGCACGGCGTCCCTATGTCGCACTCTCTTCCTCTCTCCATGAGCGCCATGCCTCAAATGGGCAGCCTCAACGTACTGGACAGAGCTCGCATGGCTCCCTTCATGGGAGTGAGTCCACTGGCAGGACGAGAGCGCCTGCCACACACGGCGTTCCCCTGGGACCCGCTCAGAGAGGCCTACCGCAGCCTGGACCTGCAGCGGCGCATGGACTTCCAGCTCAGGGCCGAGCAGGGACACCGCTTCCCCAGCGTTTACGAGCAGGAGCGCGCCTACCGCGAGAGGGAGGCTCACGACTACTCTCACCATGAGCATCTGTTGGAGGTTCGCAGGGAGCACGAGAGGATGCGACAACAGGCAGAGGAGCGAGAACGCCTCCACTTGAGGGAGGAGCTGGACAGAGCACGCCTCCATCAGCTGCACCAGTCCCCAATGGAGGGGCACCTCCCCCACATGCCCCCCTTTATGTCCCACTTAGGTGGCATGCCATACCCCAGACTCAGCCCGTCTACAGGACACAACGGACCCCTAAACAGAACACCGCCTACCGCCTCACTAAGTGCACCCCCGCCTCTTGTGCCGGCTGGCAGCGCCAGGTCCGCCTCGCCCAGGAGGACTACCCCCCTCACCACCCAGGACCCGAGGGACTATTCCCCATCTCGCAACCCCAAAGAAGTCGAGGCTCGGTAGCTTCCGGAAACTCACAAACTTCACTTCTCTTGAGTGGGAAATAACAAGAAGCGCCAACCCCCCCTAAGGGAAAGGGTATGATTGTACAAAGTAAAGGTGCATAAGGCTAACCAAGCACATGCCATGGCTATTTTTTAGTAGACTGGATGTTCAATAACGTCGGTAAAGAAAACACAGATACGTGTGAGTTTGTTTTCCGACTTAAATATTTGATAATTATTAATATATTAATCCAATACCTTATTTCTGCTTTGTGCTGAAAGGAAAGGTCCTAGAGAAGTTTGTACATTTCCTACCCTTGTTCCATGTATAGATATGATTTCTATGAATTTTATGTATTTTGTGCATTCGTCCTGCCTTTTACAATATTTATCCCAGTCTATTGTGAGACATATCCTTTCTGATGATGTAAAGACTTGACTTATGATTCAACCATCAGTAATTTGACCTCATAGTACCTGGATATCCTCAATGATGTACATTGCTACATTATCGACTTAATTTGTTCATTTGGTTTGCCTTTGAGATATGCAGATAAATACATTCACACGCACATATGTGTGTGTGATTCTATATATACTGTTTGTTCAGTCTCTGTAAAAAAAAAAAAAATAACTGATGTAAATAACCTGTTGATATTCTTTGCTGCAAGATTGCATTGTAAATTTATTAGTCTTTTTAACCATTTTTAGAAAAATGAAATGAAATCAAATAACGCGGAGTCACCTGCCTGTCCAAAATGGTGTCAAACAACCGACGAAATGGATTGGAATTTTGCGGGGAGGGTGTTGTACGGAAGCCTGGATGGATCGTCTGCAATCTATGCAAAGCAGCACACAGCACCCTAACAGAAGAAATCTACTGGAACAAGCTGACAATACTGGAGAAGATGAGAGAAACTTTTGATTTAGCACATTGTTCATATGTACCAATGAAATCATCGGGATGATTAAAAAGACTTCCAAGTCTGAAAACGGACCAGGTCCGTGCAGAAAATAAGGACGCTGTTTCGGTGGTCATCTACGGGACTTTATCTGTCAACCTTGTGGTGTTGTGCAGTTGTTTTTCTTAGACTCTTGTATACAAAAAAACAGTAGAGTTTTAGGCGTGGAAACAAAAAAAAGAAAAAATGAACATTAATGGTTTAAAATGTAAGGAATAAAGTTTGGACCTAATGTCAATCACTTCCGGCCTATCTTTCATCTTGTTGTAAACAAGTAGTAAATCTGTCTACGCGTTAAACTTACTGAGCGATATTTTAGATGTGATTGATAGCTTTGCCAATAACGCTTCTGCCTCAGTTTTTCAGAATTCATTGTTTTCTCATTTTATGGGGAGCTATTACTCTGAAATCATAAAGACAGCCGAGCTGGGCCAGCCGAGTGGCCCCGGCCATCAGATCATTTGTCCATGATCTGTCATACATGGGCTCCAGAGCTCTTCAGAGGGAATCAATGGGATTGGGCCAAAGCAATACAGGGTGGACTAATAGAACATTGATTTTGTATGAAAGCGGGTTTTGAGTGTTTGTGTTGCAGGTAACCGGTATTGACTGGCAGCCCAGCGGCATATTGACCTGCGGTCCGGACTCATTAAGGGGAGCAACGCTTAGTTGGGAGGCTATCGGATGGCAGAGAAGAAGCTCCTCTCCTCATGCACACCACTCATCTGCTTTTCTAATGAGGCCAGAAGGCTCTCTGGAGTGGGCCGCTGGGGGAGTCCTGAGGTGCCCCCGTCCTGTTATTGACGGGGCCTGCGCTCGCCGCCTGTCTAGAGATGGCCAATTCATCCTGATAACGCTTCGACTACTCATCTCTCTGCTCTGTGCCGTGCGCCTCACATTTCTGTCCCATGGCAGCAGCCCATAATGACAGCGTGGATCAAACCATGGCCAGGTCATTAGGGGATCTTATTGAAAATCAATGGCGCTCCTGTGTCTCACACTCCAGCAGGGTTTTTTTTTTTTTAAATAGCTCCTTGAAAAGACTGTTTGCCAGAATGTGGCTGGTGTATTGGGAAGGCTTAAATCACTATCACTTTCAATTTAGACTCCAGGTAATTGAACCATATATTCCTCATGAGGTAGCATCTGTCAGCGGCCAGCCTCACTTTAGCACCAAGTGCTCTCAGACCCTGGAATACAGAAAACAACACGGACAGAGCCTTGCAAAAGTGTTCATACCCCAGGCCACAAACATTATTGGAGGTTGTTGTGGTTTATGCCAGAGAAACACAAATCAAAGTGTATTCTCTGAACTTTATGAATATAATCTTCCTCTGAAGTCAGAGAAGGGAATCCTTGGCTGGTCCTTAGATGTTGGAAGGTTCAGTCAGTCCAGATGGGATGATTACTGCTAACAGAGAATTTTACTCAGTGTCGGGTATAATGATATTAATAATAATATCATTGATTCAAATTATTAGAAATTATTAGCAACATTTAACAAATTTGAAAAAAAAAAATATTTCAGGATCATATCAACCTGAAGAAAGGGCTCGCTTGACACATCAGTATCCTAACTGATTTGATTTGGAATATCTACTCATCTGTAGTTTAAGTAGAACTCAGGTAATTGTAGATGACCTTAGAAAATAGAATTCCAGTGTAAATGTTCTGCATGGTGGTGCAGCGGGTAGAACAGCTGCCATGCAGCAAGAGGGATATGGGTTTGAATCCCAGCCCGGGTACTTTCTGCATGTTCTCCCTGAGCATGCATTGGTTCGCTCCAGTTATTTCAGCTTCCTCCCAAAGTTCAAAAACATAACTGTTAGGTTAATTGGCTTAGGTGTGAGTGTGTGCATGAATCGTTGTTTGTCCTGTACGTCTCTGTTTTGCCCTGCGATGGATTGGCAACCTGTCCAGGGTGTACCCCGCCTCTCGCCCATAGACAGCTGGAGATAGGCACCAGCACCCCTCCTGACCCCAGCAGGGATTAAGCGTGATGGAAAATGTATACATGTGATCAATTGTCTCTGTAGTCAGTGTCGATCACAACACAATAAGTTAGATCTGCATTATGTTGGAACATGACTAAAATTATTATAGTTTGATTTCCGTCTTTCTCTTTTTTACCCCAACACTGTTTCCTACAACGTTAGCATCTTGAGCACCATGTTGTGCTTTAGCTATGGGTATAAAACACAGTGAAAACCCCCCACAAGTAGAGTTAAAAAAATGTCAAACCCTGTTATGTGATTTGAGTCTGAGTTGACAGTTATTAAATAATTAAAATGCAGGTATAGGTTATAAAGAGCTGTAGGAACAGATGATGATGATCCACCTGAACTCTCCAGGCTAAACAAATGGAAGCTTTAATAAGAATATCAGTGGGATTATCACTCATTTAATCTGGAAGAGCTGCAGAGATTTAGAAAAATCTATTGGCTTGACAACTATTAGTGATGTAAAACTTCGACTTTTATGCTACAGAGGCAGGAAAAGTCAGTATTTGTGTTGGAAATTAAAAAAGGGTCATATTAAGATATAATTCAACTTTTTAGCCTGCATGCAAAAAAATAAAGTTATGTGTTTTGGGCATTTTAACACCAAGCATCATTCAGAGATTAGCATTCCTGAGGTGAAGCATGGTGGTGGCAGCATCATCCTGTGGAAAATATTTTCTCAAGGGAAGATGGGTAGAAGTTTTTACTCATCACTGCTGTTACAAAAACAGCCACATATCAATATGCTGGAACTTGATATAGGCAACTTATTTTCTTCATCTTACATTTAAAATGAAATACATTGAAATATATTTTTTTTTTTTATTATTTAAATGTGTCCAAGAGGCAAAAAGAAAAAAAACTTTAGCATGGCATTATATAAAACCGTTTCCTTGTCAAGATGTAAAGATTTTTCCGTAATAAATCTTTAAAGAAAATCCAGCTCCGGTTTTCCAAACACTCCATCAGTCTGCCTCGTGTTTCAGCTGTTTTATCGCTGTGTGAGAACTGGCCCTCCAGAGATGAAAAGCTCCATCAATTTCACTCATCGTCTGGCAAGGTCAATTTATTTCAGCACACAGTCTATCATCAGATGGGAAACAATTGACACCTTGCCTAACACATCTGACCGAAGGTGGATTACCAGAGCGTCTGCAGTTTTTACTTTCTTTTTCAGTCATTTTTCATCTATTGGACTCGTTTCCTTTTTCATTTTTTTTTATTTTTACTTACTCGCGTTTCATGTGATTTTCTAATTTTATCCGTTCATAATTTACAATGTATCTTAATTGTTGCTATAACAGGATTTCTTTTTACAAAAAAAGAAAAAATGCTCCTTTTGGACATTTTTTTTTTTTCAATGATCCCAATTAATAGGATACAGCGGAATTTGAGGTACGACATTGTTTTATTGTTCTAGTAATCCTTTTCATTTATCTGAGAGAAACCTCAATGCTGAGGGTTTGGGATTGAATTTTCATGGTCTCAAATAGCTCCAAAAAGCGCCTGGCACGGAGCTCGCCCTGGATTCGCCGAGCAGTGGAACAGGCTAGAGGGACTTCTATGGAGCACAATGGCAGCTAATAACACACTGCCAAGCTAATAGGATGGGCAAGAAATGAATGGTTCCATCCAAGCTTCTTTTCTCTCTCCCCAGACTGATAAAACATGTATGAAAGCCTGTCTGAGCCACTATGTTAGCGGCTCCCTTGACTTCCCTCCCCAAGCTAGACTTAATGCATTAGTTCTCATTTGAAAGCTGTTTGGAAATGGAAATTGCTAATGAGGCGGGGAGGCCCCGGCCATGATCACATTTGGATTGCTGGGGTCTTTGCCGAGCCCGGTGATTTGGGAGGTGAGTATCTCTCTGCAGGGGGGTTAGCGGACCCTGAGGACGGCCATTCTGCACCACTATGCTATATATGAACAGAGTGAATTTGGTGAGAGAGCACCAAGTCAAGGGCTTTGGCAGTTGATCACTGTCACAGCTCCTCTTTGTAAGAGTGGGTGTTGTTTTGAGCACCTAAAAAGGCTAGCTGCACACATCCTTCATGTTGCCATCTTTTTTTAGCGCTCGGTGTCAAGTGAGCTGCAGCTGACAGAAGCCAGAACAGTCATTGGTTAAGGAGCTGACTTGGACACGGCTTAATGGTGTGAATTCCAGACCCTGGTGACAAAGTGCTGTCTAATGTCTTTGCACCTCTGGACCTTTGACAAATATTCCAGCTGTACCCACACTGGCTCGGCGAGGAGAAACGCTCGTAGTAGAGGAAACTCAAGGCAAAGGAGACAGGAAGGAGAGGAGCATAAGACAGATAGAAAAGGAGGAGGTCTGGTGAAAAATAGATTTTCCACTTTGATTCAATTTTGAGGATTTTTCCAGCCTTTACTGGAGCCTCACAATATCCCACACTGGCCATATTATGTACACCAGCCGTAAAAAATGAATAACATTTATGCAGCTGGGTTCATCTGGCAGTGATACGCTTCTCATTCAAGGACTCACAGGATGGCGGTGTGCCACCTCACCACCCTCTGAGTTCTATGTATGGACACCAGACAAAAGCAGACTTAAGGAAATTGGTATGTGGGGTAAAATGAGACTCCAAAGCTTTGGTCTTGTTTAAAATAAGAGAGATTCTGAGGGGAAATCTAAGCCATATGCATCTTGTCCAATTTGGCACAGCCAACGCGCATGATTAACCGAAGAGACGTTAATCAAAAGTGGCTCAGCATTTGAAGGGGCGGTGAGAACCACTGCCAGCTGGTGACAACATGGCTTGTGTGCGCAGGCCAAGAGTGAAGTTTATTTGAATATGCATCTCCCCGTGACCATTTTTTTTCCTTTTCCTCCATGAGTCGCTCAGCAGAGCATTCCTGGCTCATCAATGGGATCGCCTCAGAGCCGTTGGCACCTGGGAAAGACGGAAGTTTTCCCAAGCCGCAAAATTAGAATTCAGTTGTATGCCATACCTTCTTGTGGCACAAGCGTTTACATAGTTTGACACTGGCACACCTAATTTCTGGCATCTATTGGTGAACATTCCCTGTATAATTAGAAATTATAGAATTTACATCCGTTAATTTATTAGCACATTCTGAAATAAAACACCCTGCCTTACTGTATTAAACTCTTTCCTGCTCCCGGAATTGGAGAAATCTATGTCCAGC